TGAGATTCCACTTGCACTGCATTGTCCATTCAGTCCTTTTTATCACATTGCGGATCCTCGGTTTATATGTACATCGCCCAACAGGGCATGTAACACTGACTGACTGGGACCGGTACCGCTGACTGCATGGGTTTGCACTGCCAACTCGATGCAGTCGCACTGCCGACGTAACGCAGTTGGGGTCACCACTTGCCCACTTTCCTCTGACTAAACGTGAGACACTTCGAAAGGCCACTTCCGAGCCTTCCGGAAGTCTGTGGACTTGGCCTTTCGGGTACTGTAGCAGCTACGACCTTGACCTTTCAGGACTGTAGCAGCTACGACCTTGACCTTTCAGAATACCTACAGCTACGACCTCTACAAAGCTGTAACTCCTATTCGACAGACCGACAGATCGAACTCCTACCACTACACAGACCTACGACAGGCGACAAACAACTACCAAAACACAGGTCACGGGTTCAAACACTCGGGTGTCGACTCGATTGTGTACAGGGGCAAAGTGAGGTCCGGGGATCGAACTCTAGGGCCCGCATCTGTGACTGCAGAAAGGTGAAAACCGTTTCATCAACCAAGACTATGATAAATCTCCCTGCTGTGTTCATATGAGACAAGGACAAGGAGAACATAGATGATTGGTTGGTTGCCATTCCAAGTTTCGTCAGGATGAAGTATTTATGAATTTTATGGGAAAAAAAAAAAAAAAAAAAAAAGAAAAGAACTTTCATCAGGATGAGGGATACACCGGCAGATAGGGGGGTAATTGGTGCAACAATGCAAAGTCTTTCTTGCCAGGGTCAGCACAGAGCTGCTGATGGGTAAGTTAGCAGAGAAAGGCATGCTAGATCTGCTTGGTTGGGTAAGCCACTACACACTGGAATCATTTATGGACTTGGTTCATGACCGCTTTCACAACAGGACTAAAAGCAGTCAAGGCCATAAATGAGCTTAGAATGATTGGGACTCGTTGGTTCAAAAATGTGTCAGCACTGACCAAGAAGGTGGAGGAACTGATCCAGGTGCCTGGAGTACAATATGATCCGGTCGTGCTCTTGACCGGTTATGTTAGGTCCCTCCCTGAAAATATTGGAGCCTGTTGACTGCAGAGGCCTTACCAACTTCGTCAAAGAAAGCGTTGGCTATAGAGGCAATGCTGAGAAATATGAACGGAGAACCAGGAGAAGTGAATAGAATAACAAGTAGCGGGACAAGGAAGAAGCTGTTCCAGGCCCATAAGATACAGGGGCATCTTGCTCCACATTTAACAATGATGGGTCAAAAGAGGTAATTCCCTATGGCCATGGTGTTGCATACCGTAACGGTGCAGACCAGAACAAGAACCGACCTCTCTCACATAGTACAGGATAGCACAGCGGAAGGCTAAAAATACCAATGACCAGCCCAATCAATGTCACAATGCAGACCGAACATACCTCATCATCATCGCATGGTGTGAAGGGGGCTGGCGCTCACACAGGAAGAACGCGCCAGTCCCAAAACATACACAGACGAAGAGGAGGGGGATCAGACGAAGAAGAGGGGRAAGATGGGAATGTCGTCAACACCAAGTCTTCGATATGGGTCCCAAATAATCCCTCGTCCAATGTTTCAATCCGAATGTCGAGTCTGAATCCAAATGTCGTCAAGTCCCAAAGTCACCAATCTCTCTCTCTCTCGTAGTCTGCAGATACTGAGAAGTCAGGTGGCGAGAGGGTGAGGGAGTGATGGTGGACTTAGAGGAGGAAGAAGAAGAACTCTCTATCTCTCTCTCTCTCTTGTACCAAGTACTAACCTGTGAAGGTGACACCTTGTTGCAGGTACATCGAAGACAAAGCTGGAGCTATGGCGCCACAGGTAAGTCTCCCTGGCCTCCGCCCTTCTCTCTCTCTCCCAAAGCTACTCTACCTCCTAGCAGCGCCCAGCGCTGAAGACTACTCGAGCACTACTACTACTACTGCAGCGCTGCTCCAGAGTGCTGCGGCCAACTCCTGAAGACTGCCACCGGCCTCCTGACCGTGAAGTGCCCGTGAACTGCCTGGGAAGTCCCCGTGAACTACCTGCAGCCTGCAGGGCGGGCCAGTTCTATATAGTGCTGGCCCGTCCGGGAGGCTGCTCTTGCCAATGCCGAAACGTGCCAGACCCTG